ATAGCCGATAATAGTTGGGGTAATTCCCCTTTTCCATGCTCAGTCCCAGGCTGAGTACCATCTCACAGGCTTTGTCCCTTTGTGGGGACAGGAACAGGAAGGAACCCCTGCAGGGGGGCCCAGGGAGGGTGAGTCTGTGAATCCAAATCACACAGCACACAGGAATGACTATAGAATTGGAGACAGGCTGGGCGCGGTGCCTCATCTCTGCAATCCTAAGTACTTGGGGAGGCTGAGGTGGGAGGATTGCTTGAGGCCAGGAGTTTAAGAGCAACCTGGCCAACATAGCGAGACTCTATCTCTATTTTTTTTTTTTTTCCCTGAGACGGAGTCTCAGACTGTTGCCCAGACTGGAGGGCAGTGGTGCGATCTCGGCTCACTGCAACCTCCGCCTCCCAGGTTCAAGTGATTCTTCTGCCTCAACCTCCCGAGTGGCTGGGATTACAGGCACGTGCCACCATACCCGGCTAATTTTTGTATTTTTAGTAGAGATGGGGTTGTTGGTCAGGCTGGTCTCAAACTCCTAACCTCATGATCGGCCTGCCTCGGCCTCCCAAAGTGCTGGGATTACAGGCGTGAGCCACTGCGCCCAGCCTCTATTTTTTAAATTTAAAAAAATATATATATTTTTATATATATTTACATATATTTATATATATATATTTTTATATTTTTATGTATATATATAGAGAGAGAAATAGAGGGGTCCATCCAGGCACTCAGCAGCACCCCTTCCCCCTCAGACCCCACTCTGGCCCTTGTCCTTTTCCTGGACCCCAACTAAGAAGAGATGAGTAATTAACAGGTTTAGTAAATTAGTCTCAAGTTCCGGTTTGGGAGGGGGAGGAGCTCTTCTCCCAGGTTGTCTCCCCACATTTTAACCAGGGGGTAGTCTTGTCTGGGGTGGTTCAGAGGCTGAGTTTTATAGAGCATCAGGGTGGTCTTGGGCTGGGAGTAAGTAAATCTCAGCTTACTTAACTCCAGAATTCAAGGCATTAACAGCACCTCACCCCTGGGGTTGGTGGGAGGGGTAAACCAGAGGATGCCCAGCCCAGCATTGACACAAACCGACTGCCCAGTGATTTAGAAGGAACACCTTGCTCACTAACCCGGGTCCATGGAAGGGTTTTGGCAGAGCCACTCTGAAAGCTCAGCCCAGATGTGTGAAGGTACCCCGTTCTGGGAGCAGGCCCTGACTTCCCTCTGGTTCTTAAATGGAAATAAGTCACAAATGCATGTTCTAGACCCGTCTCTGTTCCCAGGATAATCACCCGCCCCAGGACCAGACAGTCTTCCCCCATCACCTGTAGAGTTTACCTGGGAGGAACAGAAGAGCCGAGGGAGCACTAGAACCCTACACCTCCCTCTCAAAATCACAGATTTCAGAGGCCTCCCCAGCCTTGGTTAGGCAGCCAGGTCAAATCCCACCACAGGCTGGGATTACTCACCCCTAGAAGGGGACGAGGGAACCTTCTCTCTCCTAGAGAACAAGCAGAGACACAGTCCCAAAGAGGGTGGGGACATTCCAGGGTCCCCCAGCACTGGAGGAACAGAGCTGGGGCTAAGTGCTGGCCCAGGTGTCCAGACCTCAGGCAGGAAGGAGCTGGAAGGATAAGCTGAGGCTAATAACGAGGTCCAAAGTCCCTATTCACAGAGAGGTGCCAGGTGTCAGATAGGTGGCGGGTGGTGGCCAGTTCCCACCACAGGATCCCCCTCTGAGGTGGGAGAACCCAGGCTCTCCCAGAGCCTCCTCTGCTGCCCCCACCTCCACCTCCACGTCCACCTCCACAGCAAAGAGAGAAAGGAAGTTGCTAATTGTGTGTGGTCAGGAGGAAATCCTGATTACAGAAGGTGGCACCAGGCTCCAGAAGCAGGCTCCTGACCTACAAGGGTAGGGCCCGGAAGTTCCACAGCCTTACCTCCCAAGTCTCACCTTTTGGGGGCTAGCCAGCAGGCTGAGCAGCAAGGTGGGCGCGAGGCCGGTCACCCAAGCTTGGGACATCCTGGCTTGGGGGCCACTGAGCTTTCCTGTGTAGAGAAGGCGGGGCTCCGACCTCTCCCACTTCTCTCCATCTATGGGGCCCCGCCTCGGGATGGGGGCGGAGCTGCACCGGGAGAGGCGGACTCGGGGCAGGGAGGGGCTGGGAGGAGGAAGGGAGGCGCAGAGGTCTCGGTTGGGTTTTGGGAATTGGGAGGTAGAAGAGATTAACAGATTTTTCTGTTAATCTCTTCTACCTCCGGGCGCGGCTCACGCTGGTAATGCCAGGTAATACTCGCCTTGGGAGGCCGAGGCGGGCAGATCACTTCAGGTCAGGAGTTCGCGGCCAGCTTGGCCTACGCGGTGAAACCCCGTTTCCACTAAAAATAAAAAATTTAGCCGGGCGTGGTGGCGGGTGCCTGTAATCCCAGCTACTCAGGAGCCTCAGGCAGGAGAATCGCTTGAACCCGGGAAGCAGAGGTTGCAGTGAGCCGAGATCGCGCCAGTGCACTCCAGCCTGGGCAACGGAGTGAGACTACATCTCAAAATAGATAAATAAATAGATAAATAACCTAAATTTAAAAAGAGGTGGGGTCAACTCCACACCGCTGAGCTGGGCCTTCCTAACCCCCAACTCCTCCACTCCTAAGTGCCCCAGACTCCAGGGAGGGGTGCCGGGACCGGCAGGAGTGGGAGGGGGACGTGGAAGCCCCTTCTCATCTGGACGGCTGGGTCCGGTGAGAAGTCATGGGGGCAGAGGTTGAGGGAGGGGAAGGCGAAAGTTCTAGGGTAGATTTCGAGGTGTTATGGTTGGGGGATATCACCCCATTGCGTTTTGGCCAAAAAAAGAGGGAGGAGGCAGCCTGGCTGATTTCAGAGTGATCTGAGATTTCCAGGTCGAGGAAGCAAGACCAGGAGCACAACATGGGTACCTTCGTGTGCCCTCCCTCTTGAAATCCTACGGGGGGTGTTGGTGCATTTCCTCCCATTGACAAAACGGGAACTCAAGGTCCCAGGGTTTAGACTGCCCCGGGATCCGCTGCTGGGGCTGGTCCTTTGCCAGGCCCGCCGGGGCGCGGGCGAGCAGGCCCATCCAGATTCCTGGAAAGACCCCGCGGAGGCCGCCCCAGTGCGGAGGAGCGGGATTCCGAGCCCCCTGCGACCGCCGCCTCCAGCACTCCAGGCGCAGAACTTCCGGGAGGGGCCGGCAGGTGGCAGCGTCGCCCAGCGCGGGTGCCCCCGGGAGCCGGGAGGGGCGCGGCCGGGGCTAGTGGGCTGGGGACGCCGGGCGGGGGCGGGACAGGAGCGGTGCAGCCAGGACCGCGGGAGGGGGCGAGAGGGCGATGGAACGTGGGGCGCTGCTCCCTGGCCCAGGGAAGGGGGACTCTGAGAGGCTCAACGTCATGTCCTTGAGCGCCTCCTGCTGTGTCGCCCATCTGTCCTGACCCCTGAAAAACACCCCCGACGTCGGGGACATTTCTTCTCTTTCCTTGTGTCTGCATCTCACCCTTCTCCCTCATTTCTCTCAGTCATGTTCTCTGTCTTACATTTAACCCCTCTGTGTCTCTCACCGTTTCTCCCAGTCTGTTTTTCTGCTTCGGTTTCTCCCCATCTGTCTGCACCCAGTTTCTCTCGAGTTCCCAGCCTTTCCCTCTGTTCTCCTGTCTGTTTCTCCTCTCTGTGTTCACCTCTGTCTGCCTCGGCGGAGGCGTCTGTTTTTCCTCGGTTTCTCTGGTCCCTTCTCCTTGTCCGTGGTTTGGTCCTGCACCCCTAATCTCTCGGTCTGTTTCTTATGCTCTCTCCCTGCTCTCTGTCTCCCTTTCCCTGTCTCTATTTCCCATTACCTCCTCGCCCTTGACGGCCCTTAAGAAGATAATCTTCCAGTCTCCTGATTCGAGGGGTATTGTGATCTGGCCCCTCTGTATTTGAAGTGACTATGAGCTTGGAGAAGGGAAGGGGCCGCCCTCTCCCCTCCGCCCCTGCAGGTAGACCTTGGCAGGGGGACCTAGTCCTGAGAGTGCTGGAGCCTCCGCCTCTTGAGTCGTTGCCAACTTGGGCTTCTAGGGTTCTTCTTGTTCCCACCCAGGCCCCACTGCACCAGTAAGGGCTGGGGTCTCTACCCCACACTCCCCACTATCCTGCCCAGGCCGGGAGCCCTACAGAGGTGTGGCCCTTATGGGAGAAGAAAATGAGAAAATGGTTGAGCTCAGAGGAGGAAGATACCCTGGGGGGTGATGAGGGTGCTGAAAAGGGCATGAGGGAACTCATGGGACAGATATGGGGGGGCCAGCAGGGTGGGGATGAGGGAACTAGGCAGGCACCAGTGCCCTGAAGAGGGGCAGGAGGAGGGGGAGGAGGCTGGCATGGCTGCTCTCTGGGTCTCTGGCATCACCTGACCCAGATCTAGGGTTGCTGGACAAGAAACAGGAGGCCTAGGTAAATCCAAATTTCAGATAAACAATGAATAATTTTCTTTTAGTATAATTAAGCTCCATGCTATATATATATATATATATATTTTTTTTTTTTTTTTTTTTTTTTTTTGAGAACCAAGACTGGACTGGAGTGGAGTGGTGTGAGCTCACTGCAACCTCCACCTCCCAGATTCAAGCTATTCTCACGCTTCAGCCTCTCAAGTAGCTGGGATTACAGGCATGTGCCACTATGCCCAGCCTGGGCCCAAGCGATATTTGAGACATACTTACGCTAAAATTTACTTTTCTATCTGAAATTCACATTTAACTGGATGTTCTGTATTTTTCTTTGTTAAAACTGGCAACCAGGCCAGGCACAGTGGCTCACGTCTATAACCCCAACACTTTGAGAGGCCGAGGTGGGAAGATCACTTGAGCCCAGGAGTTTGAGACCAATCTGGGTAACATAGCGAGACCCTGTCTCTGCAAACAAAGAAAAGAAAAGCAATTAAGCCAGTGTGGTGGCATGTACCTGCAGTCCCAGTTACTCTGGAGGTTGAGTTGGGAGGATCACTTGAGCCTAGGAATTCAAGGCTGCAGAGAGCTGAGATCACACCACTACATTCCAGCCTGGGTGACAGAGCACCACCCTGGCTCTAAAAAGAAAAACAAAACAAAACAAAATCTGGTAATGCTATCCACATCCCTACAATGTCATAGGAACAAATTCCACCCCCACCCCACATCTTCCAATGGAGAAGTGAGGTCCCTAGCACTTGACTCACCAGGCAGAGTCTGAAGGGCTCTCGAGCCCCTTGGCTGGGCCCCCAGGTCCTTCCATGACACCAAAGGCCCTGTGTTCCTTCCTGCACATGGGGACAAGACGAGGAGCCTGAAAGTGGGTGGCCCCAGGCCAGGCCAAGAACACCAGGGCCTGTTAGCATTCATCATGGCCACAGGGGCCTAGGATTCTTGGTGGGTGAGATCAGAAGGGGGTGGGAGCACCATGGACCCCCCTAGACTGAGCAGAGAGGGAGGGGCTGTTCTAGAGGAAGGAGGGTCCTGGACAAGGCCAGCATCTTCTGTTTGGCACGTCATCTGGCACCAGGAGGGCAGTGTATGCAGGTGCTCAGGCATACATGAGCATGGAAACCCAGAGGCCTCATGCAGTCAGCGGCCCCCTAAATTCAATGCCAAATTCCATCTGGGGTTTCCCAAGAGCAGCCACTTTGAAATGTCTTCATAAGCGCTCGCTGGGCCCCCCAGTGCATTCACTAAAGAATGAGCTGATTGTGCATCCTGCCGGGGCCCAGCTGGAAGGAGGGGCCTCCGAGGCCAGCCGGCCCACTTATGCCCTTCTCAGAGGAGGCAACTGGGGCCCCGGAGGGCGGGAAGGCCAGGTCGCACAGGACAGGAGGGGCTGAGTCAGGATCAGAATGAAGCAGTGGGCCGAGCGCGGTGGCTCAAGCCTGTAATCCCAGCACTTTGGGAGGCCAAGACGAGCGGATCACGAGGTCAGGAGATCGAGACCATCCTGGCTAACACGGTGAAACCCCATCTCTACTAAAAAAAAAAAAAATACAAAAAACTAGCCGGGCAAGGTGGCGGGCGCCTGTAGTCCCAGCTACTCGGGAGGCTGAGGCAGAAGAATGGCGTAAACCCGGGAGGTGGAGCTTGCAGTGAGCTGAGATCCGGCCACTGCACTTCAGCCTGGGCGAGCAAGAAGCCAGAGACTCCGTTTCAAAAAAAAAAAAAAAAAAAAAAAAAAGAATGAAGCGGTGCTCGAGACACCACGCCCAGCACAGGTGGGACTCACCTGGGGCCTGGGGAGCCCTGCTCCACTGCTCCGGATGGAGGATCACTCAGGGTGGGTGGCCTTGAGGGTGGGTGGCCTTGCCCAGCCTGGCTTAGCCCAGCCCAGGGGCCAGGCCTGGGTGAAGGGGAAGAGACAGGCTGAATTCTGTTTCACTTGGGAGTCCCCCCCACCCCCATACTTTGGTGGACACTAATATCTGTAATGGCTGATGGCACTGGGCTGGGATCTCTTTTCAAAGCCAGCAGAATGCTGTGCTCTAGCCCGGCTCTGCCTGTAGGGGCAGTATTGTGTCGTGTTAGTCAGTGTGCCACTGAATATATTGTGCTGTGTGACCTTAGACGAGAAATGGAACTTCTCTGGGTCTCTCTCAACAAGGAGGAGAGGGAGGAGCTGGATAACAGCACCTCCTTCATCATACAGGCCATGATAAGGATGAAATAGGCCGCTCAGTGTCTGGCACTCAGTAATGGCAAATAAATGCTAGCTGTCATTCCTGGCAGAGACAAGGGGCCCACACTTCCTTCTCTACATTTCACATGGAGGCAGAGTGGGGTGCCAAGGAGTGCAGGGTCTCGCTGCTCTCAGACTGCTCACTCCCCTGGACGGGCTGCAGCATCCAGGCCCAGTTTCCCCAGGACACCTTGCTCACTAAACCCCCCTGCTGTCCACTGGGCCCCACTAAGGGCCAGTCAGGCCTGAGAAGGTGGGGCTGGTGACAGATCCCAGAGGATGCCCAGGTGCCGACCACTCCTGACCATGGCGCTGGGACTGGAGATGTGATTCCCTCCACTCCCAGTTTGTTCCCCCTTTCTACTCCCACACGGCCCACTGAGCACTGCCTGGGTCTACTTTACAGAGGAGGCCCGCCTCTCCACATGGGCTGAGAGCCCATGGAGAGCGGAGCTGTGCCTGTCACAGGCGTCCTCTTACTTTATCCCCACTGCCATTGGCCCCCCGTGCAGCCTGGCTCGTCAGGACTTTCATAGCCATATTCAACAAGGCCTCTAACTTGGTCTCCTCATTGCCAAGGAGGGCAGACCATGTTGGGCATGTCGCTCTCTTGCTCCCTAATCTTCAGAGGCTCACTACTGCCACCTGAATAAAGTCCCATCCCAGAGAGACCTTCAGGGTCCCCCATAACCAGTCCCTACCTGACCCCCACCCCCGCTGTGTTCTCCAACCCCTCCTCTTACTCTTTCTGCTTCTCTCCTTGCCTCTGCCCAGGCAGTTTTTTCCACCTAGTTTCTTCCCCAAATCCCTCCCAGAAACCGAACACATTCTTCCCCATCCTTTAAAGCTCAGCCCAAATGCCACCTCCTCCAGAAAGCCTACCTGGACTTGGATCTTCCTTCAACAAGTGATTGTCTGCTCCCTGCTTGCCCCTACCCAGGCCTCTTCCCTGGGCCTCTCTGGCCGTTTTCCATCGAAGATGTGTGGACATGTCCTAACGCTCCCACCCGGCTGCTGCGGGGGCTGGCCAGCTCTGATTCAGCATGCATTTCCCCCTGGTGCTTTGTTCCAAGTAAACACTGGCTCTGTTGTCATTGAATCCAAGCTGGTTAGGGGCCTTCCTGGGTCAGGGGCCAGATTTCTCCAAGTGGATAGGGAATTCATTTCCAAAGTCCTTGGTGAAGGACTCGTGGATGGGGTGGCAGGAGTCCAGACTGACTGGGCTCCCCACCACACTGGCTGTGTGGTTTGGGGAATCCACCTCTTCTGCTTCCTGCACCCCCTCCAAAGGGTGTGCTCAAATTTGTGACTCTCCGCTCAGCAAGTGAGGACGATGGCTCCCTAGGGATTGAACAACTCCTAAGGGGGTGTAGCAAGGAATGCTTGGCTTACGGTCCGCCTTCCTGGAGGAGGCAGAGTCCAATAATAGGACTTCTTGGCCATGGGACGGGGACCTCAGTTCCCTTTCCAATATATATATATATATTTTTGAAATTGAAGCCCACCAGCCCCTTTCCCATTCTTGGAGTGATGGCCATGGGAGTGGAGGAGACCACTTCTGGAGTCAGCTCCAAGTTTGAGCCGTGAACCTGTGGGCCCGGAGGGTGGAGGGAGGGCAAACCACCTGAGAATTAACAGTACAGGGCGCTTATTATCCCAATGAGCAGGTTGGAGGGACTCACTGATGCTCACTTACCTGGAGGTTTAGCAGAGACAAAAACGCCATTCGGGAGCCATTATCTTTCCAAAGTGTAGGTTTCTGGGGTGCAGGCCGGGGTGGAAAGGAAAGCACCTCAAAGAGCCGGGATGGGTGTCGGGTGGGGAAGGTCAGGGGAAGGTTGAGCTGATGAGCTTTGGCTTCCGGGGTGGCAGATGGAGCAGAGCCATGAAGGCTTGGGCAGGAGAGGCTGAGCTAAGACTAGGGCGAGGGTCTTGAGAGCCCCCATGCCTGGCTTCCTTCCTCTGGGGCCCCATCCTTCAGTCTGCAGCCCCAATCTGACACCTACCCTCACTGTCTACTCTCTGAGACCAGATCCTGTAACCAGAGGGAAGAAAGGAATTTGGGATCCTTGCTTTCTAGCTCAGTTCTTGTTGGCTCCTAAAAAGAGGGTTCTACTGTACCCTGTTTGTGGGTTCCTTTGCTTCTGACCCAAATGTTACTGGGACTGTAGTTAGACCTAGAAGAACTTTTCAGATCCAAAGGAGCTGCGGATTCAGGACAGCCATGAGAAGGGGAGCCCTTTCATGGTCTGGGGGCTCAGACTAGAGTGGGGCGCAGGCACAGCCTGAGAAGACCCCTGAAGCTGTAAAGGCAGAGAATGAGTGTGAGCAGTGGGGAGGGATTCAGGCAGGCAGAGATCACATCCTTCCTCAAATCATAGCTCCTCTAAGCAGCCACATCATCTGGCTCCCAGCTGAAGACAGACTTGGCTTTGGTTGTGTGGGAGCTGCATGTGTGCATGTATGTATATTATGTGCACGTGTGTGCATGCAGAGCATCCCAGCCTCCTGTGTTGATTGGCAGCTCCCACTTACACCCCTTACCCCACTGCCAGTGCCTGGCTTCCTTATCGCCGGGCCAGCCTTTAGGGGGCTGGCTTCAGGATCCCCTCACCCCAGTGGCCCTGTTAGCACCTCCTCTCTCCCTTGTTAGCGCCTCACAACCCCTCTTCCTCCTCCAGCCCCAGCTGTTCCCCCAGAGACAGGCCCTGTGGCTTGCAGCCCAGTTCTTGCATTCTGATTCCACTTCAGCTTCTACTTTTCGAAGCTTGGTTTTTCTCCCAAACCCGAACCCCCTGCCCTCTCCATTTCCCTCTTGTCCATGTGGAGGGGTCTTTTGCAGGACATCAGAGCCTGGGGGAGGAAGCTGGCTCCCCCCACAACTGAGCACGACTTCTCTTCCAGGCTGCGGTTGAAAGGCTGGCGCACAAAGTGAGCCCCTCCCCATCAGCCTTCTCTGCCTGGAGGGTGGGGAGGGGGCAGTTTGGGAGGGACCCCTGTACTAGGAGCTAAAGCTAAATCTGGTGCCAACTCTGCCCCCTCCTGGGGGCAAAACCCCACTCTGTGGCAGCACTGAACGGGTGGGGTGAGGGGGCAGGGCCTCTGGGTAGAAATATCCTCTTCTGCCCGTCGCCTCCAGGCAGCTGTGCCCAGCCTGAGCCTGGGTTGCCGAGTGGGACTGGGTGGTCCTGTGCCTGGAGTCAGGTTGTCAGGCCTCCAGGATTGTAGGTTTCCTCTACGGAAGGGCCCCTTCCATGCGGGCTTTGATGTGTCTGCGAGGTTCGTGGAGGATGTTTGGCTTCAGGGCCCGGTGCCAGGATAAACTCCCTCTGCCTGCTGGGCCAAACCACTGCCTCCTCCCCTCCTGGCTCTCCTGCCTCCCCCAGCCTTGGGCCTGGCCTCCTCCAAGGCCAGCACTGCCCTGCCTGCTTACTGCGGTGGGCACCAAGATGCCACTGTTACTGCTACTGGGGAGAGGCCTGTGGGCAATCCTGGTTCCCAAGGCTGGCCCGGGGGTGCCTGCTGCTAGGTGACCGAGGTCCTGCTCCAGGTGGGGGATGCTGGACCCCAACTGCTAGCAGGGATGGGGATGAGATGGAGCAGGGGGGAGGGGGTGTCTACGTGGAGCTGCTTGCACAGGCTTCAGCTCTTCCAGATGTGCAGAGGTTCCAGATGTGGGGATGATTCAACCCAGAATGGGGAGGGGTGGGCGGTGCATGGGGAGATGGTGAGCAGGGGGATGTGAGGCCCTGAGCAGCTGCCAGCTGCTGCCTCCTGTCCTCCGGAACCTGCAGCCCCTCAAAACCCCAAAGGCAGGCAAAATGGTATTTAATAGCGGCTGGGAGCTGCCCAGATGTGTGGCCTCAAGTGTCCCACCATATGTGCTGGGAAAGAGACCTCAGGGCCAGGGGCTCAGCTAGGAGAGAGAGAAAGGGAGAAAGTGGAAGGCAGGCAGAGGAGGCTGGAGGAGGACCGAAAGTGGGAGGGAGGACGGAGAGTGGGAGGGGCAGGGAGAAGCCCAGGACTAAAATGGTGCCCCCTACTTGGGCCCACTTTCAAGTGTGTCACTGGGAGAAGAGTGTATTGGTTCAGAGGACTGTGTGTGTGTGTGTGTGTATGTGTGTGTATGTGTGCATGTGTGTATGTGTGTGCATGTGTGTGCGTGTGTGTGTGCATGTGTGTGTATGTGTGTATGTGTGTGTATGTGTGTGTGTGCATGTGTGTATGTGTGCGTGTGTGTATGTGTACGTGTGTGTATGTGTGCGTATGTGTGTGTGTATGTGTGCGTGTGTGTGCGTGTGTGTGCGTGTGTGTATGTGCGTGTGTGTATGTGTGTGTATGTGTGCATGTGTGTGTATGTGTGTATGTGTGTGTATGTGTGTGTATGTGTGCATATGTGTACGTGTGTGTATGTGTATGTGTGTGTATGTGTGCATGTGTGTGTGTGTATGTGTGTGTATGTGTGTGTATGTGTGTGTGTATGTGTGTGTATGTGTGTGTGTATATGTGTGTGTGTGTGTGTATGTGTGGGTGCACGCATGTGCAAGCAAATGTGACCTCGCTGCTGGAGTGGAGGTTACACGGGTGGGGAAGGCGCTGTGCTGGGTGAGCACTGTGTGTCTGGTGTCAGCTGTGTTGGTGAACTGGGTGCTGAATGATGATGTGTATGTCGGGTGTGGCAGGGTGCAGGAGCATGTTCTATACCATCTGTGTGATAGAGAAGGACTGTGGGGACAGCGACTGTGTAGTGATGGGCTGTGTCGGGGAAAGAGTGTATGTTTATGCCAAGTTACATGTGCCCTTGGAGGCAGAAGGTGGGTCCCACAAACCTGGGGAGTTGAGTGGCATCTGGGCCTACCAGACCAGGACCCCAAAGACCTGGGGCTTCCTTCAGCCTCCTCTGGGGAGCCCTGGGGACCAGGGTCCAGCATCCTGGAGCTGTGGTTTCTCCTGCTGGGCCCTGGGCCATATGGTTTCCCTTGCAGGGCAGCTGGGAGACTCCTGAGCTTCAGAGGCTGGCACCCTGCAAACGGCAGCGCAGGGTGTGCAGCGAGCAAGGTGCTTCCCTCCCCACCCAGGAGAGCTGCTGTCCTGGCCTCCTCTCTGGCCTGCAGGGGAGTCTGCTGGCAGGGCCACCAGCTGCTCCCTGGAGAGGCCCACCTGTGCCAGCCACCCTTGCCAGGGTAAACAGGGCACTAAGTGTCTGGGCTGGTGCCTGCCTCAGGCTGGGCACTGCTTCTCCACACAGGGCTCAGCTCCCAGTTGCGGCTTGGGTTGCCTCCTCCAGCTAAATGACAGGCCTGATGCCCCAGGCCCCATAAACAGTGTTTTCTTGGGATGTGGGGGTCGTAGGGCTGCTGAGCAGACAGATAATCAAGTTGGACTGGGAAGACAGCATGTTGCCTCCTCTAAGGTGGGGAAGGCTTTTGTGACCCTCTCCCAGTGCTGCGGGATCCTTGCCCCTCTTGGGTGACACTGGTTGAATCCTCTGTTATTCGCCCAACACACACACACACACACTCACACTCACACACCACCAGCCCTCCACACCAAGTTCTCAGCATCAATTTACTTGTGAGTGCAAACAAGCAGTGGCTGGGATCTGGTCAGCCGGTCCTGTGCTGTGTGTCCCCTCTGTTCACAATCCAAGGCTGAAGCCCGCAAAGATTGAGCCACATCTCTAAATCACCGCATGACGGTGTGCACTTGGATGTGTACCTGGCCCTCCAGACACTGCGATGCTGCCACCCAGCCCTGCCCCATTCCCTGGACATCTCTGTGGCTGGCTCGTTCTCAGTCCACCTCCTTGCCGCCCCCTCCACCCTCCCCTCCCTGTATCTGACTCAGAGTGAGAGGAGCCTCTGATTCCTCAGCCCTGCCTCTGACACCCCTCCAGGCTCCTACCCCCCAGGGCAACCTCACAGGGAGGAGGAGCCCTAGCTCCAACCCCCTGAAGTAAGGCCCAGGAGGACACCTTCCTGCTCCTCCACTGCCTCCCTCTTCAGGACCAGCAGTGGGTGGCTGGGCCCGGAAGTCTGATCCAGTATCTGGGGCCAGCTTCCCAGAATGGAAGGTGGCTTTGTCCAGGGAGAGGGAGGCCTCTGACCCAAGCCCGTGGTCTCAAAACAGCCACATCCGGCTCCCCACTTCTTTGCCCAGACCCTCCTACAGGACCTCTCTGTGTCTGGGAGTCCTTGAAGCCAGAGCCTATTCTGCCTTGCCAGGTGGTATGGGAGCCCCAGCGCCCCCATATTCAGAACTGCTTGTCTCAGCAACGGGGATGAAGGCAGATCTCTCTCTCTCTCTTCTCTCTCTCTCTCTCTCTCTTTCTTTCTCTCTCTCTCTCTCATCCCCAAGAAGGCAATGCTCTGGGTGGCTGAGAGGCTGGAGTCTGAGCCCCATCGCTGGGTGACCAGCTACCCCGTGTGCCCAGGACAGTTCAGATCTATGCCATTGCCTGGATGTAACTGCTACAAGCACCCCACAGTATC